TTTTTTTTTTGTACAGTGTCCACATACTTTTGTTACAAAGAAGACTTTTTTCTAAAATAAAAAAAAGTAAAAGCTGTCTGAAATTTCTGGAAGAACAATTATTCTAGGGTTGTTCAACCCGAATATTTGTATAATAATTGTGTTTTAGCTCAAAATCAACTGGCAACCTCGATAAGCCAAAATAGTTAGGTGTCCACATACTTTTGTTACGCACTGTACAATGCACCGCCCGCCTCTTTCATTTCAATTGTTGAACCATCCCTACCTTTGCTAATTTTCCATCGCTGCCTTGGCTGTTATGAAACCAAATTGAGAAGTTTTTCCCATGGCCCCACCCATTTTCGGTGCATGTTTCGCCCTCATGGGCAGAGTTCCGCTGAGCTCACATAGCTTTGCCAATCTTGACCTATGCCAAACCCATTCTGAACTTGATCGGACTTTCTCGGTGTTTATTCAAGTAAAATAGAATATCATGTCAGGCAGACTTCAAACAAGCAGAGGGAACGCGTTATGTATAGTAGGGATTCCAGAAATAAAATTCAGTTCAGATGCGTTCAAAAAAATCAAGAGTCAGGCAAGCCACAAAGTTTATTGAAGGTCTAATGCTCGAAAAGAATAATTAAGCTTGTTAGAGAAAAAACGACATTAGTATAATGTCTTCACCTGAGGTACTCCAATGCTTCGTCAACGCTTTCGAATCGAGCATGACAAGGTATAGCAAGGTGGAGACCAGTTCGCACCCCGAGAGAGCCAGCTGCTTCCGTTTCACAGTCACCTGAACAGCATTTGATTTTGTGAATAATATTACCCAGTTTCAACAAGGACAGCAGTCGAATTCTGGAACAGCTAAAGGTGCTAAGAATGAGAGTATGACAAGGATTTCGAACACAAACAAAAGCAAAAAACACACTTAAGGATTTTCCGAGATGATGAGTTACAACAGCATCCTTTGCAACACGTGACTCTGACTCCAAAAACCTTTGGTATTCCTACAAATATTAGCACTTCATTCATTCATGAACATATTTCTCAAGACGCGATAATGCCAGCTCACCTCTTGTGCAATCTCTTTAAGTCTGGGCGGTAGGTCTTCCACTGAATATCTAAAATGCCAAGAATTAAGGGTTAGGAAACCCTTGGCAGGTAAATATGCAATTATGACCGACCTACGAGGAAATGTGAAATTAACTAATGGGCCGTTAACGAGCAAGGAAGTTAACGGATAAGCGATAATAGTACCACCGAGAAGTCCTATCCGTAACCGTCGCCCAACCTTCGTTTGTAGAAAAGCGGTCGCTTGCTCATTCCACTTCCTTCAAAAGAGAAACAACAATACATGCGACATTCACATGTTAGCAGTAATATTCGAAAGTCAGTAGACTCACAGACCTGTAGGACAGCACTGCACGAGATAATCGCATACTCCGTACGGCTGCTCAGAATCTACAAAAATTGAGATGAATATGAACCAGCTAGTCGGCGAACCCAAAACTCTCACAGAAAACCTAGAAATTAAACGAAGTCTAATCGCATGATGAACTCGGAAAAAAATGTTGCTTAAGAATTCATTGGCAATCTGATTGAGTCATTGTATCACATACAGGAGCGGAAATGCAACACGTGAATCCGGTTCCCACAGTGACCTTACAGTGGATCAATGAATGCAGTGGAGGTAGCATTATATGCACAATATATTTCATTAAACGGCATAAACTCATTTAATACACAGATACTCAACCCTTCCCATATACGAGGCATCGACAAAGGACCTTATGCAAAGGACAGCTTCCTGGTGATGCACTGCAACACGAGCAGTCTTACAAGTCAAGACTCACGGCTTGATCACTGCAAGAACCAAGTTCCTGGGTTAGGATTACGTTTACAACTGTAACATCATGTCCCTAATACTTACATTTCAATCAATCACTAAAAACATGCGAAATATCTCACAAAGTTCTACAATTAAATCAGACATTGATTGAATCAGCAACGATGATCATAATCACTCAAGGGATCAGCAAAAAGATAAACAAACTCTCAAAACTACAAACAACAAGTTGACCTTAGCTAATGATAAAACTTTGATAGACTAGCTTCCTCCTTCGATTCTGTCGTCTTCGATTTCCAATGACTGCTAACATTTTTCAACCTTACTGAGAGGGGAATGGGGTCCATCCTAAATGTTTACTCTGAGCTTTAGCACTAATGTTAGCTACATGTGCTGTGCAGCTGAGCTGAATCGAAGGAGGGTCCTCTTGAAGTTTGAATAGAATAGAAACAATCAGACGCTTACCGTACATCGCCATTCCTCGTAATATTTTGCTCTCCTTCTTCACCTAACAATACTCGCAACAATCTATTGAATTTCATTGTAGACCGAAAGTAATCGCATGCTCCTTGCAAATATTCCTCACCGCTGCAAATTTAATTGAATCTATTCAAGCGTTTCTATATAACTAATCATCTCACGGAATAAAGAGCCTATGAAAAAGGAAAACCAGTCAACACACATCTCAACGGTCTTCTCGTCGGCCCATCTCACTTTGTATGCAGTGTAACTCTTGAAAAATTGGCGAAAAGCGACTGCGCTAAATACCACTCCTGCAAGTGTTCCAGTAGCGACGCCGACAAAACTTGAAAGACCTGAAAGTACTGTGTCTGATAAAACTCAAAATCAAAACAATCCCGAAACTAAAAAACTACGACAGCTGATGAGTATCAATAAGTGATGCATCACTACTCTTACGAAAGATTCATTAGAAAAATTCAAACAAACTACAGTAACGTACCTACAGAAATGCCATAGCCCGCACCAAAAATTCCAAACCAGGCTATGTACGGTGCATTGAACAAGGCGAAACTGCAACAAACATAAGAATAAATAAAAACCGTTAATGTTTTTATGACGGAATGCAGCCAATACCTATTAGCAAGCTGGAGCTGTCTTTGCACAAGAAACATTTTTGCAGCATCGGACAACATCATTCGAGACGTCAACTCCTCGCCAATTTTTGTGTTTACTTCAATTTTTCGTCGATGCCTGATTAAAAGCGCTAGTAATCAAACGGTCTCGATTCAGGTCGTTATTGTTAGGATCAAAAATGAGTCCTGTCGCTACACGAGGCTGCAACATCGAGACTGGTTAAAAAATATCCTCAATAGCTGTTTTGTTCCTGTATAGACCGCCGAGCCGTGCTGCGACAGAACCCCAACTCGATGTCTCAGGCAAAAGGATAGCAGGATAGAGGATAAAACTCACGATGCATTTCCCTCCCAAAAACCTTTCAAAGCGTTACGTTTCAGAAAAGCTGGGCTGTAAGTGCAGACAGGAGCTCGTGGTTTTACAAAAAATCTTATTTCCAAATGAAAACAGGAGAGCGACTTGAACAAACTTTTTCATACCTAGCTAGACCCAGGTCAAGTTCAATGTTGCTAGCTAAACGGCGTGCCTGCTCCACATCATCGAGTGACATTCGCATTGGAAACTGAAGCTCGGCACCCGATTGCAAGAAAAAGCCTCCATACACGCGAGGTTCACAAGAGTCTGTTAGGCTCAAACGTAGCTAAAAAGCTAGAATGACTGACTGCCAAAAATATTTCACATAGAAGAACTTGACATACTTTTGGGTTTTTTATTCTGTCAAGCTTATCCATCTCTGACTCGACCAATTCTTTCAAATACTCTGACGGAGGAAAAGCACTCCTTTCCACATAAAGTTTACTCCATATCTGATCACCACGGAACCCTAAAAATGTTTTGCGTGTAATACTCTTAACTAATGAACAAAAATAGTAAGCTCACCGTGAACGACCAAGTATCCTATAGGATACGAGGGTATGATTGCAAGGTACGCTTGTCGAATCCACCAGTCAAATCTACGAGACATCTCACAAAGATTCTAAAACGATCAACATAGGCATCAGAATAACGAGGGGTTAAGGAAATGAACTGAAAACTAAATGGGTCTATGAGGCGCTATACCTCTAACAATATGTAAAGCCATGAATTATATCAAAAATGAAAATAACCTTAAACTTCCTTGAATATTTTCCCTATTGGGTTTTTTATCTCAAATACAGGGTGTCCCAAAACTATTTGCGCCGATTTATAGCAATATATTTGAAACTTCTCAACTGCGAAAGAGGATGGAATTTCTATACACGCTAGCTAACACTATGTGCTACAAAATGCTAGAGTCGCATTCCAAAATATCCCCCGTGAGCGCATATAGAAGTCAAAGTTTGCTTTCGACTTGATCGCATGTGGCACGCAGGTATCCTTCCCCATTTCTTCCCAGCCGTCCTCCGGCTTTTGCATTCTAGGACTCCAAACTGAGACTGCAAACTCGACAGGTCCTCTTCTAATCAGGGACCATTCGTGGGATTCAAGTGAGTCAAGTNGATCAACTCTTCATCACATCCATCAGTACGCTGTTCGAGTACTGGTCTTGGTCAATTTTCACGCCTGCACCGACGAAACCACGAGCGGCTTACCCTTGCCAATGATTTCCTCGAAAAACATCATTTTACTGTTCTCATAGCAACCTTTTTGTGAGATATTACACGCTGGATGTTTCTTTCCGGAACGCGAACGTTTTGGTTGTTGAGGGATGGTTTTATCGTAAAAAATTTTTTGGTCAGAGAAAACGACGAAGGGTTGTGTGTCATCACTCAGTGGGTCTACGACTTTCTGCATTTTTTGGCCCTGCAGAGTCTGTTGAGATCGGGATTGAAGCAAACGATAGGAATGGTAGTGAGGCTTCTGCATGCGCTTCACATTCTTCCATCGCGATAACTACTGTAAGCCGTGCCCGTTGACTTCCTTTTGATCGCTGACCCAGGATCCCGACCGATTGGCAGACGGGCCATTTCAATAGTCCTATCTTCAGAAACATTCTACCTTTCTATCTTTTCTGGTTTGTCTCTGATTCATTCTTCTTTTCTATATCGTTTAATAGCCTCCTATACGGTTATTAGAAAAATCCCAAAGAATTTCATAACGCCTTTCCACTTCTCGCGCGTCAATGATTGCGAGTGGCATTGAATGGATCTCCTCCATCTGAAAGATATTGGGAGTTCTACATCAGTAACCATGCATATTGCAAGGAAACCTACTTATGCAAATGATTAATAGCAGGTAATGTGAATTTGATAGATTATTTCTACCTTAAAAATTACTGAACTTTGTCGCAAATAATTTTGGGGAACCCTGTATAATCCCTTTAACTACCAGGATTCCTCGACAACTTATTTTGCAACTGCATGTCATTAATTATGTTAGCAAAGCATCAATTGGACACAGTAAATGGAATAGAGTTGTTCAGCTCACATAGGAATCCTCTTATTGAAATCAATTTGAGAGACTCCACACTCTCAAGCATACCTCTATTCCGCTAAACGATTCACTTTCCAAATACACGCCCGATTCTCAAAAGATGCGTTATGTTAGTTCTTTTAGGTTTCCGCTGATGATTTTGGGGTAGAAGAAGGAAGGACTAACCTGTGGATGTTCAAACTGATCAAGCACACGTACACCTCACAATATACCGCTGTATCGTTGTAAGTCTACAATGAAGGCCTTCGGTGTGAGAATTTTACAAAAGAAATGGCAAAAACAAAGTAAAAGAAAGGGTAAACCATTAGCTTACCTAAGCTAGGGTAGTACGAAATACTACTGATCATTTGCCCGTGACAAAGTGATACCAGCTAGCTCTTTTCATGCATATGCATTTCAGTAAATTTGAGTAATACCTGCACGGTACTATGTCTGCAAAGTTGCGTAAACAAACGTAGTTCTGCAGACATTGCTTGAGGCTTATTTGTTTAGCTCATCTGAGCTTTACTATTTGAACGTCAAGGCCTGGCGAATGCAATCTGTCCATGTTTCCCACGATTGTTGACTTCTTCCAACTAAGAACTTGCTCACCGTCGTGACTCCGTAGGGAGCATAGTGGGCTGAAATAATGTCCCGATTCAATTCTGAGAATGAGGCTTTAACTTCAGATTACCTGTGCTATGGGACAAACTTGACATCTTTGGGATCAACCA